AATTAACTCGAGGGAAGAAAATAATGGAAGAGCCAAAAGCAATGAAACATAGCCACACAAAAGAAAGTGATTCAGCAGTGAAAAAGGAATGCACGCCGATGGGCTCTGAAAACATTAGCTTAGTAATCGGACTCCGTCACAAAAGAGCCCATATTATACAATTCCATTTCCGTGAAACATCTAGAATAGGGAACTCGACAGACTCATCTCACTGTCAACAGGTTGTGGCATCAATTCATAACATGATGGGGGGAGGGATTAGTGGTGAGGGACAGGGCACAGGCAGGAATAAGGAACAGCTGGTACTGGCTAGCATTTCTTTCTGGGGTGATGAAAAAAAAAAACCTCAGGGGAGCTCTGGTGGCCTAGTGGCAAGAAGCTGCAACTACAATCCCAGAGGTGCACAGTTCGAATCCACCAGATGCTCTGCAGGGGAAGGAGGGGCAATCTCTGCCTGTATCAGTCAGATCTGATTTGACGGTACACACACACACACAAATAATAAAATAAAAAAACAAAACAAAACAAAACAAACCCAAAACCTCAAGTTACACTGCGGCAATGCTTTCACCACTCTGAATATTCTAAAACCCCTCGAATTGTACATTTTACAATAGCACCTTACAAACTTTAAGAGAACAAATCTGTCTGTTCAAGTAAAAAAGAAAAGAATGTACTTTTTTGTTTGTTTTTTTAATTCGTTTATTTAATTATTTTTTGTGTGTGCATACCGTCAAATTGGATCTGACGGTACAGGAGGAGATTGCCCCTCCTTCTCCAGCAGAGCATCTGGTAGGTTCGAACCATGTGTGCCTCTGGGATTTCAGTGCAGTCTCTTGCCACTAGGCCACCAGAGCTCCCTAAGAATGTAGGTTTTAAATATATGAACTGTATGGTAAATGAATTAGATTTCAATAAGCTATTGGGGGACGGGAGCATCTCAAAACAAAAGACTGACATAAATTAGAAAAGGTGAAAATAGAGAAACACGCTAAATATTGGATCTTAGGGGGAATAAAGTAAAAATCCAACACCTATTAAGTTGATTAAGAAGAATCGCACGTTATCAACATGATTAAGGAAGAAAGTTCAGGTTCTCAACACCAGGAAGGAAAAAGAGGCATCGCCACTGATCTCTTAATAGTAAAAAAATGTAACAGGATGAGCAACTTTATGCCAAGAAAGTTCAAATTAAGTTCAAGGAATGGCTAACAAATCTAACATAAGACGGAACACCAAGTAGAAAAGCACCATCAATGTGCAAAATCAATCAAGCGCACCATCTAAAACACCCCAAAAACAAAACCCCAGGGCCAGGTGGTTTCACTGGAAACTCCTGTGACACATTTACAGGAGAAAGAACAGCAGTCTCCAGATTCTATCAGAGGATAACACAGGCAGAACACAAGGTGGGCTGGAATACTGAGAAAACACACAAGGTAGCCACAGAGGCCAAATGACAGGTAAAGGTGTTTGTCTATTATTTTTTAATAAGCTGAAAATTTCTCACAAATAATAAGCAATGTATAGAGACTATGCCATGAAGAGCGGGCTCTCTTTTAGGGGAAAAATAGATTTGAACTTGTTATCTGCAGGAATTCACAAAATCTCTTCTTGTTCACAAACATTTTCAAAGACAAATCAGAATTCTTGATGATGGTGTACAAGGGCTTGCACACCCGGCACTCTTGCCTCTCAGTCCTCACTGTCTCAGTCTTCCCCTTATTTTCTAGGGACAAGTATCCTCAATAGTCTTCCAAAATGCCAGGCCCTGCCTCGGAGTCCCAGCGTCTCCGTTCATGCCTCCGTACACACTTCAGGCACTAATTAGCACCAGGTTTGAAGCCTCGCCAGTCTTCCCGGAGCCCAGGAACTCGAAATTGTTTGACAGTTCCAGGCTCATGACCGTCATGGTCACAACAGCAACTTTATCTTTATTTGTGCTTTTTTTTTTAAACAGTCCCTCCGTAAGGACTATCTACTTCGCTTTGTATCCAAAGACAAAATCTGTAGGTGAAAGGAGTTAGCCTTGGTTACAGACTGGTTCATTTCAGGGTCAAAAATATGGAACGCTTCACGAATTTGCGTGTCATCCTTGCACAGGGGCCATGCTAATCTTCTCTGTATCGTTCCAATTTTAGTATATGTGCTGCCGAAGCGAGCACTATTTGTGCTTTTTAAAGACTTCTTATTTATTCTTTGAAAAAAAGCAACACAATAGCAAGGTTCAAAACTGTGTACCCTCAGATGTAAAAAACAAAAAAAATACAAAAAGATATTTAGTGACTGTTTCCTGCTCAAGCAGGGAGAGGTTACCAAGGGCAGGAGGAAACTTCTTTTTTTTTTATGGTAAGAAAAATTTATATTTAGAATTAGCCCGCTGGACTCAGTCTAGATGATCCCAATTTTGCTGGCACCATCCAAAGCATCATAATCAGGAGCAAGTCGAACACAGGCCTTCTTCTCTCCATCAGGCCTAATCAAAGTGTTGACCTTGGCCACATCAATGTCACAGAGCTTCTTTACAGCTTGTTTAATTTGGCTCTTGTTGGCCCTGACATCCACAATGAACACAAGTGTGTTGTTAGTTTCTATCTTCTTCATGGCTGACTCTGGTCAGGGGAAATTTGATGATGGCACAGTGGTCAAGCTTGTTTCTCCTGGGGGCGCTCTTCTGGGAGTATCTGGGCTGACTTCGGAGCCTCAACGTCTTAGGCCGCTGGAAGGTGGGTGACCTGCAGATCTTCTTTTTTTTGGCTACGGGTGCCCTTCAGGACACCTTCTTGGCCTTTAATACCTTTGCTTTGGCTTCAGTTTTGGGAGGGGCAGGGGCTTCCTTCTTCGCTTTCGGCGCCATCTTCGTAGGGGGAGGAAACTTTTGAGGAGGATGGATGTGGTAACTAACTTTAGTGTGATAATTGCACAGGTGCACACAAATGCCAAAACTATATTTCCTTAAATAATTATTGTTGTTGTTGTTATTTGCCAGCCAGTAGCTTGCAACTCATAGAGACCATGGGTACAACAGCCCTGAAACTTATTCTATCCTGTGCCAACATTATTGTCTCTGACACACCAACCCTCATTACCCCAGTCACAGAGTCAATCCATCTCATCAAGGCTCCATCTCTCCTGCACTCTCCCTCCACCCTCCCAAGCATGACGTCCCTCTCTAAGGACTGGTCCCTCCTTGCAACATGTCCAAAGTATGTCAAACAAAGCCTCAGAATCCTTGCCTCCAAGAAGCAGCTTGGTTTCACCCTCTCTAGGATGAATCTGTTTGTTCTCCTAGCAGTCTGTGGTATATTCAATATTCTTCTGCAATGTCACAGTCAAAGGCATAAATTCTCCTTCTATCATCCCTAGTCATTGTCCAGTTTTCTGACACATAGCAAGCAATTGCGAAGACTATGGCCCGGATCAGGCGCACCTTAGTCTCCAGACTGATACTGTTGTTTTGTGCTTCTCTGAAGTAAACAAGAACATATTACTAAAATTTATATGTCAACCGTTAATTCCAAAGATAAAGAAATTATGGATTTTTACCAACTTCTACAGTCTGAAGTTGACCAAATATGCAGTCAAGATGCACTGACAATTACTAGTGTGATTGGAATGAGAAAGTTGGAAACAAAAAAGAAAAAGAATAGAAGAAAAAATTCAACCCTTGAGTTGTAATAAAGAAAGATTCTATAGGCAAAATAAAGCACAACCAACCCAAAGCCCAGTTGCTCCACAGGATACAGTTGGGTAGTCTCTTCCCATAGGGTTTCTTGCCTCTAAAGACCTGCCAGAGTGTCAGCTAGGTGTCAGTTTCAACTTGGCAGTACACAGCAACAACTTTCCAGGCCAAATACAACAGGACTCAGGAAACACCACAAGATGGAATGCACAAAGTCACTGCACCAAAAAGTAGTGGTGACATTCAGCCAATTCAAGAGCGTAGAGAGACTCAAGGAGCGACAGGGCTGAAAGAACAAGTCCAAGCTGCACTGTAAACACTGGTGAAAACAAGCCTCCAGGATTTAACAGGATCAACTGAGATGTTTCAACAAACCGATGCAATGCTAGGGGCCTCCACTCTTCTGTGCCAAGATCTGGAAGACAGAAACCTAGCCAAGCCCGTTAAAGCACTGTATCCATGCCCACTGCAAAGGAAGGTAACTTAATGAAATGCCACATTATTGATCAGACCACACGCAAGTAAAATTTTGCTGAATTGTTAAAAGACGGTTACAGTAGTACATGGGCAGGGAACTGTCAAAAATTCTTGCAGGATTCAGAAGAAGCCGTAGAATGAAGGCTATCATTACTCAGGTCGGACAGATCTTGGCTGAAAGTAAAGAATAACAGAGTTGTTTATCTGTGTCTTATGATTACATGAAAGCATTCACCGCAGGCAAAAACAAATTATGAATAACATTGCGAAGAATGGGAACTCCAGAACACTGTTTATGCTCATTTGGAATAAACACACAGGCAGTGGCTTGAACAGAACACGGAGATAGTTCATGGCTTAAGATCAGGAAAGATCCTCAGCCATGTGCATCAGCATCTATATTTTAGCCATACTTTTCAATCTGTATCTATATCTGTATGCTTAGTAAAGAGTCCGAAATGATAGACTATGAAGAAAAACACAGGAGCACATGAAAGTGGCACAACCTCATTTGCTGAAAACAAAGAAGATTTGAAACACTCACTGATGAACATCAGAAATTTCACCACTGGGAAAATGAGAACTGAGACTCAAACGGAAACTTGTACACCACTGTTCACAACAGCATTATTCACTATCGCAAGAATATGGAAACAGCCCAGATGTCCAACGAATGGACTGAGAAGCTGCGGTACATTTATACAATGGAATACTACGCAGCATGCAGGAGCAATCATTTTGTAAATTACTACCTAACTTGGAAAGAACTGGAGAGCATTATGCTGCGTGAACTCAGTCCCTGTATAAAACCATTATTGTAGAATGAGTATGAGGATCCAAGATGGGAAGAGTGGAAGGTGGAAATACGGGGGTAAGAACGGAGGGTGGGGGATGGTAGGTTGTTAATCAAAGGGTTGCACAATTTGATGGGTGGGTGGGTTGAAGGAAATGGGAAGGATCTTTTTGTGAAAAACAGTGTATTCAAACTTTGTAAACAAATTAGAATTTTTTTTTTTAAAAAAGAGTACATTAGGGGAGCTCTGGTGGCCTAGTGGCGAGGAGCTGCAACTAAAATCCCAGAGGTGCACGGTTCGAATCCACCAGATGCTCTGCTGAGGAAGGAGGGACAATCTCCTCCCATACCAGTCAGATCTGATTTGACGGTACACGCACACAAAAATAAAAAAAAAAAAAAGAGTACATTAATGAGCTTTAATAATCTAAGCAGGGTTAAAAAAAATTCACAACTGGGCCAATAAACATCATGGTAAGTGGAAGAAATACTGACGTTGTCAAGGACCTCATTTGAGTTGGATCTACACTCAACAGTAGTCAAGAAATCAAGGGAGTTTTTGCATCAGGCCAATCTGCTTTGAGCATGTCAGAACACAGAACTGTCATTTCAAAGTGTACGTCACGAGCGGGTGTGCAGGCAGCTCTGTGGCTTCAGGAACAGAACAATACCTAAACCCAAGGAACGTGTTTCTTCAGGCTCGTCTGGCAGTGATTCTCATAGTGAAGTTAACAAGAAGTTAAAGGGAAAACAGCAAGTTGCTGCAGAAAAGTCTGTAAAGAAGCAGAAGACTGGCGAGACCTCCCCAGCTCTGTCCTCCCACCAGAGGAACAAAAGCAGAGATGGTAACACGTTTCCAATTGGAGAAAGGACATACGTCAGTGTTCGACCCTTTAAAGGGAAAGTCCTAACGGAAATTAGAGAATACTGGATGCATCAGGAAGGTGAAATGACGCGAGGAAGAAAAAATTCTTCTCTAAACCCCAAGCAGTGGAGCCTGCTGAAGGAACAGATTTCTGACCTTTATGACTCAATAAGGAAACTATAAAATTAGAGCCCTATAAAACCTGTACCTGTTCTAGGGGTTTTAATCTTCTTTTCACATTGGCTTTTATTTGCTAACTGTTGTTTTCCCAGCTATTGTATATCTGCATTGCAGAACAACTTCTAAGATGAAGACTTTTTTTTTCATTTTTTATTTTTATTGTATTATTTTTTACGTGTACTGTCAAATCAGATCTGACTGGTACAGAAGAGGATTGCCCCCTCCTTCTCGAGCAGAGCAACTGGTGGATTTGAACCGCGTACCTCTGGGATTTCAGTGCCCCGTCTTGCCACTAGGCCACCAGAGCTCCCTTATGAAGACTTTTCTTATGTGCATTATTAAAAACGTTTTGAATTAAGCTAATTGTCAACTTTATGATAGAGAATTGTTTTATGCCCATCACTGAATCTAAAATAAATCAAGACAATTTAAAAAAAAAAGTACACCTGATCCAAGACATTGTATTTTCCATCAACTTACAGGCATATGAAAGTTGGACAGTGAATAAGAAAGACCAAAGAAAAACTGATGCATTTGAATTATAGTGTTGGCAAAGGTAACAGATCATTCAGGAGGGTGGACTTTAGGAAGAAGAATTTGGCATCAGGATTGAGGAAGACTCATCAACAACCTGTGTTATGCAGATGACACAACCTTGCTCACTGAAACTGAGGACTTAAAACATTTGTTGTAGGTCAGACTGCAGCCTTCAGTATGGATCGCATCTCAACATCAGGAAAACAAAATTCCTTACCACTGGGCCAATAAGCAGTATTACAATAGATGGAGAATAGATGGATCAATAGATGAGGTTGTTAATGATGTCATCTTGCTTAGATCCACAATCAACATTCTTGCATTCAGAAGACCAAAAGATAAATTGCATTGGGAAAATCTGCTATCAAGGATCTCTCCAGACTGCTAAGGGGCAATGATGTCAGTTTAGAGACTAAGGTCTGTCTGATCCAGGTATGGTCTTCTCAATTGCTTGCTATGCATCTGAGAGCTAGACAACGAATAGTGACAGAAGAATTGATGCCGTTGAGTTGTGAGGCTGAAGAAGAGTACTGAACATACCATGGACTCTCAAGAAAACAAACAGGTCAGTCCTAGAGAGGGTGAAATCAGTTTGTTCCTTGGAGGCAAGGATTTTGAAGCTCTGTCTCAAATACTTTGGGCATGTCACCAGGAGGGACAAGTCCTTGGAGAAGGAGGACATCCCCCGGAGAAGGGTAGAGGGTCAGTGCAGAAGAGGAAGACTCTGGATGAGATGGATTGACACAGTGACTGTAACGATGGGGGCAGGTATGTCAGAGACAGTGAGGTTGGCTCAGGATTGCACAGGGTTCAGGGCCATTGTTCATAGAGTCGCAATGAGTCATAGTCAACATATAACAACAAGGGTTGCCAGAAGAATAACTACTCTGTCTTGGAATAAGGAAAGCCAGATGTTCCTTAGACTTGAGGATGACATTATGTCTCACATACTTTAGACAAGTTATCAGGGGAGACAGTCAGTCAAAGAAGATCATCAACTGACACAGTAGGTAAGACAGATTGACTGCAATGATAGGCTTAAGCGTGGTGGAGATTGTGAGGTTAGCACAGGACAGGACAAGGTTTCAGTCTGTTGTTCGTAGGGTCATGTAGTCACCTGCACAACACCCAACAACAATCTTTACAGAAGAATGCCTCATCTTCCCCCGTGTGTGAATCACCAACACTTTGGTCAGCAGAGGATAGCTTATCCAAAGATCTCCCAGAGTTCCTTATAATAATAGTGTTGTTATTGTGTGCCATCAAGTCAGCACTGACTCACAGCAGACCCTCCACTGAGTTTTCAGGGCCAGTATAATTGCATGAGAGGAAAGGGCCCATCTTTCTCTTCCATACGCATCCCGGTGGCAGCACTGCTCCTTACCACTAAGCCACAGTTGTTGTTGTGTGCCATCGAGTCAGAAGTGACTCACAGCTGATCCTCCAGCAGAATTGCACTGGAGATTGTCTATTCTTTTCCAGCAGAGCAGCTGGTGGATTTGAACCACGTGCCTTTAAGACTGTAGCACAGCTTCTTACCACTAGGCCACCAGAGCTCCCTAACTGTCCAGAGTCTGCCCATGTGTGCTATTACTTATCCTCACTTCAAGTGGCTCAACTGGAGCTCTGCATGTAAAGGGGTACCCCAAACCCTGGCCTCAGTGGACTGGACTGCTCCCAACTGTTCCCTCACCCAGAGTATTCTGAATCTCCACCGACTTCTCGGGGCTCAGGAGGGTCTCGGCGCCGTCGTAGGGGGAGCGAAAGCGGACACCCTCCTCGGTCACCTCGGACAGGGCCACCAGGGACACCATCTGGAAACCGCCGCTGTCCTGAGGGAAACCAGCAGCTGGACTGTCAGTGGGTGAGGAAGGGGAAGCCCCACCCTAGACAAGGGACCCTGGCCCGGACCCCACCTCACCGTCAGCAGGTTGTGGGGCCAATTCATGAAGCTGTGGAGACCATGGGCCTTCTGGATCAGCTCTGGACCCTGGGGAGGGGAGAGGGAAGCAGCCACAGCGAGGTTAAGGGGCACGCTGGGGTAATCCTTACATTCCATGCTTCCTGAGCCCCGAGCTTGCCTAGTTCATGAACAGTGTTTGAGATTGTCACTCCCCTGCCGCCCTCCCCCCAGGCCTCTAGGAAGTAGGGTCAGAATAAGGGAGAGGGCAGCCCTGGGGGGCAGTGCTGGGATGCAGGAAGGGCCAGCTTAGCTGTCTGACTTCGGGCCAAGGTGAGGTCGGGGTCAGTATGCGTTTGTTGGTTGACTTCCGGAGCCATGTCCAATCTTAGGACTCAGTCCAGAGCTCCCCACCCTCCGCCGCGTTCCCACCCGGGCAGAGCCCACGCACCGGCCTCAGACCCAGATGGTAGGTGTTGCCCAGGCAGAGGCGGCAGCCCAGCGCGTCCAGCTGCTCCGTCGTGATGCCCTTCATGGTGGCCTGCGTGCCCACTGGCATGAACACCGGAGTAGCCACCGTCCCGTGCGGCAGCAGCAGTTCGCCCGCGCGGGCCCTCGAGCGGCTGCACTCGGCCACCAGGCGCAAGATTCGGGGCGCCGAGTCCAGGGAAGCCGGGGTGGCTGCCGCCGCCATCTTGACAGCCGGAACCACGTGGGCAGAAGAAAGTGGGCGGCGCCATGATGGCTCTGATCACGTGATACGTGGCGCGCGCCGAGCCTCGAGAGGGCGTCTGGGTAACCATGACAACAGGCGCGCGTGCGCTCGTGCCCGCTAGGCGCCGCCAGTAGCGCGTCACCGCGCAGACTCCAGTTGCCCAGGCTTTGAATTTTAGTTGTAAATCCAGCCTGCGCCATCATTTTCTCCTCCATCGGCTGGGGCACGTGTTGACAGAAGGGCGGTGTGGAAATGGAATGGAAATGATGGTTGTGTAGATCTTTACACAGAAACTGACATCTGGTGTTCAAGAAGGAAGACTCCTCTAAAACAACTATGAGACATCATCTCACCCCAGGTAGAATAGCAAAATTTAACAGAACAGCAAGCAACAAATGCTGGCGAGGTTGTAGAGAAACTGGAACCCTTATTCACTGTTGGTGGGAGTGTAAAATGGTGCAACCACTGTGGAAGGCGGTATGGCGCTTTCTCAAAAAGTTGTAAATAGAGATACCATTTGACCCAGCAATTCCACTACTGGGAGTATACCCTAAAGAGCCCATAACTGACATCCAAGCAGATATATGCACACCCATTTATTCACAATAGCAAGGAGTTGGAAACGACCCAAGTGCCCATCAACAAACAAATGGATAGAGAAACTGTGGTATATTCACACAATGGAATACTACGCTGCATTGAAAAACAAGGATCTCATGCAATATTATTCAAAATAGGTGACTCTGGAGGACATTATGCTGAGTGAAGTATCTCAGTCACAAAAAGACAAATAACTGCATGGTGCCACTGTTGTAAAATAGGACTGACATCGGGGTTGGGGAGAGACTGAAAAAGATGCATTGAAACAGATGAGGGAGAAAACTGTTTAAAGGGGATATGTGATTAGGTATTTTTTTTAATTATTTTTATTTTATTATTTTTTCTTGTGTGTACTGTCAAATCAGATCTGACCAGTACAGGAGGAGACTGTCCCTCATTCCAACCTCATGCTTCCAGGATTGCAGTACAACTTCTTGCCACTAGACCACCAGAGCTCCTCGTGATTAGGTATTTTTGTCATGACAGGAATCTAGAGCGAAGGCTACATGGTGGATTGGACCTGGGGGAGGGTTTGTAAAACAATGAAATAATTTTTCTTTCACTTTTCCAAGAGGGTAGTCTACTGGGGGGAGGGTTGGGAGGGGAGAAAAGTGCAACAATGAATGAATGGAAATCCAAAGTCTGTAAATTTTTACTGAAATTAATAATAATTTTAAATTTAAAAGAAAAAAGAAGGAAGAATCTCTGTTGATGTTACAGTCACCAGTCTCTGCCACCTCCTCACTTCCTAATCCAGGACCTTTGCTGGAACCTTCTAGTCTTAACAAGTCCTCTTTTATCTTCTAGGTCTCGGGCTGAAGACCATCTCAGAGAGTCCTGTGACTACTTTTCACAACCCATACACATTATACGGATGCATTTCTTAGTTTCCTTATTTCCTAACTGCTTGTACCAAGGGTGTTAATTGTGGATCCAAGCAAGATGAAGTTGTTGACGGTTTCACTCTCCCCTCCAATCATAATGACACTGCCTATCTGTCCAGTGGTAAGAATTTTTGTTTTCTTGACACTGAGATGCAATCTACCAAAAGCGCCATTCCTTGATTTTTGGAGGCAAGAATGATGAGGCTTCTCCTCACAAACATGTTGCTCGGAGGTGCTATTCCTGGGAGAGGGACCTGATGCTGGAAAGAGTTGAGGGTCAGCAAAAGGAGAGGAACACCCTCAAACCAAGTGGATTGACGTGGTAACCACTGCAATGGGCTCTTGTGTGTCAGGAAGTGTGAGAATGGCACAGACATGACAGAACAGGGTTCAGATCTTTTGTTCATAGGGTCACTGTGAGTTGTACTTGACTCGCTGGTACCTAACATCAACATTTATTATTTAACCATTATCATCTTCCACAAAATTTCATCAGTTTGCTGAGTGAAGGGACTTTTTTCTAGTCTGTTTATTGTTTTGTCCCAGGAGGAGCTTAGAAGAAGCGTATTCAATAAAGATTTGTTTATTCAAGGAAGAAAAGAGTACTCAGATTCACAGGTGGGAAGGTTAAACTGAACCTCAGTCATTCATTCAGTTCACACCCACACCTCCATCCCCTGTGTAGTGCTGTCCATTTCCCGTGCCACACAAGGCAAGACAAGCTGGCCGTAAGATTGATGCAGTCATTGCTATGTGCCACTAATAACGGTTGCTGTTAGCTGCCTTTGAGTCAACTCAGACTCATACAGATCTCATATATAACAGAAGGATGTGTTTCTGGTTCTGTACCACCATCAGGATTGTCGTATGTGGCTGTTACTATGTTAGTCCATCTTTTTAACTGAGTCTCTATTTTACCAATTACAAAGCGAGCTCTGAGTGAGTGGTTAAGTCACGTGGTTCAATCTACCAGCTGCTTCTCTGGAGCAGGATGGACAATCTCCTGCTGTGAACCTGATGAAGGGTCAGCTATGGATAAGTTCTGACTGTTACAGCACATACATAACAAATTATTATACATAATTATTGTTGTTGTAAATGAAGCTAACATTTAATCTGGGCCAGCAGAGGGCACCATTGCTCCAAAAGCCTTCCTCTCAGACTCACTGTTGTAAATTGAACTATGCTGGACAAATTCAGCATCCTATTCCATGACCATTAAAAAAATAATAATAAAAATTTAAAGATACTAGTTTTGTAGGGGAGTTAAGAACTCTCACTGAAGTCAAGCCTGAAACTCCCCACCCAAGAGTGAAAATTGACTAATAAAGAAGATCAAAGAAGAATTGATTCATGACACTGAATTGTGATGTTGGTGAAGAGTTTCGGATGGTAGCACACTGACTATCAAAACAACAACAAGAAGATCTGTCTTGGTAGAAGTGCTGCCAGGTTGGTCCTTAGCAGCAAGAGTGGTGAGGCTTCATCTCACATACTTGGAGCTTCCTGTCAGGAAGAGCCAATCTCTGGGAAAGGACATCATGCTTGGAAAAGTAGAGGGTCTGCATAAGAGAGGGAGACCCTCGACAAGATTCACTGATACAGTGATTGTAGCAACGGGGTTGAGCACAGGACCAATCACGAGGACAGGCCTTGCTCTGACTTGCTTTGTGTTTGTCGACGGCGCTTCCTTCTGAATTTTCTCATTGCTGATTCACACTTTCCACTCTACTGTGCCATATCAGAAAACGCTCTCTCCTCCATCTTAAGAATCCCCTACAATACTTACCTGGCAGGGGAGACACCATGATCACGAAGGTGGTTTTCCCAGGCTGAGGCTTACCCATTGCACTGCCGATAATGCGGACCCCTGCAATTTCCCCCAAGGTGGGACACTTGACTGCATGATTTGTGATAGTGGGGGACTGCGTTCACGCTTTCTCCTGATTATTTAAAAAAAAATCCCCTACAATTGTCATTGTGTCCCACATCACGTGCAAAGCTTTTAAAATAAGCTTTTAAAAACCTGTGTAGAGTCAGACACAAAAATTTTTATTCCCAGCACAGTTTTCTCTCCTGCCTTGCTGACATCTCTGCTGGGTGTTGGAAGACTTCCAAACAAAGGGATTTTCAAAGCCAAACTCTTTTTTTAAAAAAACATAATTATTATTTTTTGTGTGTGTACCATCAAATGGGATCTGACTGGTACAAGATTCAAACCACTCACCATTGGGATTGTAGCGCAGCTTCTTGCCACCAGAGCTGGCCAAAGCCTGTGCAGCCCAACGGAGAGCCACTGCTGGACTGGCCAGCACACAGTCCAAGCCAGACCTCTTGCTTCCACTCACAACCACCGTTACAACACTGATCAGGTGCTGCAAAATTTTGGTGCCATCTTGTCCTGTTTTTTGAGCCCACTTTTCTCCAGTAAGCCCCTTTTAACTCTCTTGGTTGTTTTTTAAAATTTCTAGTTTCTTTTTTTGAAATTAATTTTAATGAAAGTTTACAGAGACTTAGGGTTTCCAGTCATTCATTGTTGCACTTTTCTCTCTGCCCAGTCCCTCTCCCCTAAAATTTCCAATTCCTTTTTGTTTGCTTGGTTTGTATTTCATTTTTTGTATTTGTTTTCATTTCATCCACCTTCTTTCTTTTGTTTCTCCACTTGTCAGTTTTGCTTGTTGTTTTTGTTTTTTTTGGGTAAAAACTAAAGTTAGGTTTAATTATTTCCCTTTCTTTTTCTTTCCTTTTCTTCTGATTCCCCTTCCTTTTGTACCCTCCCCAGTTTGGTTTTTCTTTAACTATTCAATCTTGGTTTTGTAGTTGCTAGTTTTTTCTGTTGTTTTGGTGTGTTTTTTTTTTAATTATTTATTCATTTATGTATTTATATTTGTTTGTTTGTTTATAATATGGTGTACCATCGAATTGGATCCAATTGGCACAGGAGGAGTTTGCCTCACCTGCTCCAGCCAGCGTAGCCTCTGATGGATTTGAACCCTTCATGATTGGTTTTGTGGTTGTTTTATTTTCCTTTGTCTTTGTTCCACCTGCCAAAAGACAGCGACATTATCCAGCCACACATTACACCTCCTCCTGCATCTTCACCTTCCGAGCAAAGGTAACGAGCAGCTCCTGGTCCACCTGATGAATGAAAGGCTGCGACCAACACGGGCCCAGGCTCCCTTCAGCTCCTCTACACGAACAGGGATCAGAGGTCGGCATGTGCACCTCCACCCGCCATCACATTCACCAGGAGACAGGATATGAAGCCCAAAAAGTTACCAAACTAGCAAGCTTTGCAACACATGCAGACAGATGATTTACCAGATAGATCAAAACCAGGTAACACAGAGACAACATGACCAGAATCTATCTCGACCAAAGATGACTTTAAAACACTCAGAAAGGACAAGCCAGCACCAAAACATGATCAAAATACAGAAGCAGGAAACTTTTCAGAAGAAGAAAAGTTATTGGAATTTCCTGACAAGTTATTGAAAAGAATGATAGTTATAT